TTAGCACCCCTTGAAGACTAATTTTGTTTTATAATATAATCCTCTGAACTGCTAAAGCTTTTTGTTTTGTTTTATTTATTTAGTCATGCTTTGCTGATGTTCCTGTGTGTAAGTGTACTGTATATCCTATGCATATTAGGCCTATTACATATCACACTTTTTATTTAGTTAAATTAAGGGTAAACAAATTTAACTAGGGTAAACTTATTGTGCAAACCTTTCTCAAAGCCTTTTCATTTGTTATTTAACATTAAGTAATTTACAGACTCCTAACAGTGGGAACTCTCTCTAGTTTCTACATGTTTGAACCTCGTGGCCAGTACCCCATGGCCTCTAAATGAACAACTGTATGAATAAGCGAATAAACAGACATTACAAACAAACATCCAGGTCTCTACAGTCAAGGGTGTCACTTTGTGTTGAAAAGTGCTGGGGACATAAGGGCGCAGGTTAGGGGTGTGACAATACACTTAGCTGAGAAGATGACACACAATTTTGATTTCACAAGAACAAGATGAGACAATATTTTAACACTATTTTGAAGAGATCTGCAAAGCTGAAATATATGACATGTTTCTGGGGGAAACTTTTGAGCATCAAACACTTAAATTCCTGTATTCTGATGAAATTTCTGCATCATTTTATGGTGGAAATGTTTTTATTTATGTAAAGGAAAACACAAAATTCAGGTGGCAGGTGACAATTCAAAATCTAAAAATAAAACAGAATATTATGCAATAAGGCTCTCAGGCATTCTGTGTTCATGTGTGTATCATCCCTACTGAGTCAGCACACATGCAGGCATGATGTAGTCTTCCCTCCTCTTTTGTCATGTTCACAGAGAATGGAAAAGAAGAAGTTGTTAAAGTTACTGTTCGGTGTATGCACGGTTTTGGATCATTTTATCATCAGTAGCAAGATTTTTTTAAATCTTAAGTTACTTTTTTTGGACAATGCACATTTGTTTCTTCTATATATAAATTGCACTGCATTTTTGTTTTACTCATTTGGTAGACGCTTTTATACAAAGCGATTTACATTTGAGGAACAACATACAGGCATCAATAAAGCATCCATACCTTAAGAGATCTACAAGTGACAACAGATACTAAGAACAGCAATAAATACTAGTAAGAGCTATTAGCGTGTACAGCATCAATGGGATAAATACCTTGAGGAAGAACTAAGAGTTAACTAATAGTACCAGAGAATTGTAAGGAGATAGAAGAAGAAGAGCACAGGAAATGCATGTTAGAGGTTAGAGGTGTTATAAGAGGAAGTGTTCTCAGAAGAGATGAGTTTTCAAGAACTTCTTGAAGAAGAAAGTTACAGAGGGACGCCCCTGCTCTGATGGCATGAATAGCTAATATTTACTTATTGTGCAAACCTTTCTCAAAGCCTTTTCATTTGTTATTTAACATTTCTTCTTGCAAGCTATTTTTCAGAACATTTTTAACAAATGCTTTCATAAAGTGATGGGGACAAAATCAGCCATTTCAGAAAGTGTGCCCAGTGTAAATGACACGTAGGCTACAGCACAGGGAACCAAACACGAATTATTATAGTTGACATAAAGGGAGATAGCTTTCAGGGCAATCACAGATTTATGAAACTACATCCGTTGTCATAGCAGCGAGGACAGCAGTGTCCAGTGTTATCCTTTCATCAGGGCCATTCTCTTCTTCTTCTCATCCCTGAGTTGCTGTTGTCCTCTGGGTGCCTCAGTCTGAGGTCAGCTAGCGGTGAATGCTGGCCTAGAGTGCATGTCTAATTTGCATTTAAAGGTGTTTTTAAAGCTCCTTTCTCTGTATAAAACACCACTCGGGGTAAATTCCCATGTTGCTGTAACTCTATAGGGTACAGAAGCTTCATGGTGCCACGGGGAGGAATGCTGAGACAACCTGCACAGATAACATCGTGACTCCTTTTGTTGGTGAATGCACTGCATCATGTTTCCAGAGGCATCCATTCTGATCCAGACCTGATGAAGTATTCTTGTCAGTGTTTGTGTGTGTGTGTGTGTGTGTTTGTGTGAGAGAGAGAGAGGGAGAGAGAGGGAGAAAGAAAGAACAGAAAGAGAGTCTGTAACCTAAAGAAAATTAAGTTTGTACTTTCAGGATGCAAATACGTTTTATTCCACTTGGGGTGATGTTATCAAATACATCTCCCTGACAGTTTTTGAGTGGATTTTATTTTCAATTATTCTAACTTCCTTTATTTTAATCAATTTATTAGGGTTCCCAGCCCCAGTGGGCTGTTGTAATCGTTCTTGTTTTACTGCGGCCTAGACCGTAAGTGCTAGGGACACAAAACTCATAGGGTAGGTCCAACTCATGTTAATGACCTCAGGCGAAAAAATTCTACCTCTAGGGGGCGCTATAAGCAAGGTCAATGTGTTTGGAACTCCCGCCTACGAAGGCGCATATCAAAAACCTTATATCCACACGTTCGGGAGATCGAGCTGAATCTCATGGTACAGGCCACACCGATTTACTTTTTACTTTTTTTTTGCTAAATCACGAAAACTGTAAAACCTACTTTAATTTACTCCTCTGAAGCCGCAAGTCCGATCGACACCAAACTTGGCACGGATAATCTCTGGACCAAGCGGATCAAAATTTCTTGCGAAAAATGCTACAAATAGGAAATTATATCATATCTTTGCTTGCAGTTCTAGCTTAGATTTTTATCTTTGGTCCTCTACTCTGGTCAACATTGCATTGAATCTTTGCTTTGGAATGGCTGATCGACACCAAATTTGGAGAATTAATGTTGGACGCCCTCCTGAGGGCCAGGTCGAAATTTGGTGCAACTCGCCCCTAGGTGGTGCTATTTCATTCAAAGAAATTGTTCCTCTATAACCACAAGTCACATTGACATGAAACCAAAGTTCACCCAAATATGCCCATAGGTGGTGCACGGGCACGGCAGTGGTTAGCACTGTTGCCTCACAGCAAGAAGATTGTGGGTTCAAACCCCGGTTGCCCCGGCCTTTCTGTGTGGAGTTTGCATCTCCCTGTGTCTGCGTGGGTTCTCTCCGGGTGCTCTGGCTTCTTCCCACCATCCAAAGACACGTGGCCTAGGTTGATTGGTGACCCTAAATTGTCCTTAGGTATGAGTGTGAGTGTAGGTTCGTCTATATGTGGCCCTGCAATGGATTGGGTGTACCCTGCCTTTCTTTCGATGCCAGCTGGGATCGGCTCCAGCCCCACGACCCTGTACGCAAGATAAGCGATTGTCAATGGATGGGACATTTTGCCTCATAACTACGGCCCACTACATCGCACATTCATAAACCTTAAATCTATGCCTCTGTACAATGACGTTTTCACATCGATATATCGCGAAAACTGAAAACCCTATTTTAATTCACTCCTCCGAAAAAAGCCGCAAGTCCAATCGGAGAATTGGCACGGACCATCCATGTAACATCCGCCATTTTGTCAGTTGTGACCATGCAAATAAAGATCTTTGAATGAATCTTTATCCACCTACTAATTTATACTAATTGCCGTTGTTGTAATTATTATCTGTAGGCTCATCACTTCTTATAGCCATTTACATTACATTTATTCATTTTATCCAAAGTGACTTACTCTTGAGCAACTAGGGGTTAAGTGTCTTGCTCAGGGACACATTGGTGGATGGGTCACAGTATTGAACCTGGGTCTCTCACACCAAAGTCATGTGCCTTATCCGTTACCCCACCAACCCCCATTTTGTGACTGTTATTTGTAATTCGAGATATTACTTTTTTCTGCTATCTAGTACTTTGACGCTAACCAAGCTAGCCAATCTACAACTACGACTAACTTGTCTGCTATGTAGCAGAAGGGAGTTATAAAACTCAATTTCACTCTATAACTTCATATTATATTGTGACAACAAACCTACCTACCTACCAGCTGCTGGAAGCTAATGTGTTGCTAACATAACATTCTGTTTACTGTTGGATTAACAGCTATCTTACTTTTTTTACTGTTATTTTGTGGACTCAAAATAACAGTGATACTTTGTTTTTTCCTGGCATGAGGTAGCTTACAATGTACCCTAACTGATTTGACAGCAAGTCTATCGCCTAGTTATAGGCAACAAGTTATTTATTTAATTTATTATTATTATTATTATTATTTTTATTTTATTTTTTTTTACAATGGGCTGCCTCTGGTCTAACTTTTGTCTCTGCTCAATCTTTTTGTAATCACATTGTTGGTGCTACAGTAGGCTATATATTTCATATTAAGAAAGAAATATACTAAATATAATTTATTTGGGTAACTTGTGCCCGAATTGAATGATTTCAGCATCTATTCTTCAACATTTACCTCAGGATGTAAACAGTGTCTTATGTCTCTGTTACAAAAATAACATGTGGTGGTCTAAAGCTTTCCAAATTAGATAAAGACAAGGCAACATGAGTCAGTGTTGGGTAAATGAAACTGATGACCTACAGTATGTGCTATTTGATCATAATGAATGAGACTCTGTGTCCCCTCTCTCTTAAATTTTAATTGTAGAGTGAACATGGGGATGAAACTTGCCTCCAGCTGTATGTCTTATCTTTTGCTCTTTCATTAACAGCTTTACAGCCCCCCACTCTGGAGCAACATTAACCCTATATTTCACATTCCAGATCTTGGTAAACTTAACACGTCTTCAGGTTGGATTTTTTTTGGGGGGGGGGGGTTTAATGAAAAGTTTCATCCAATTTTCAGGCTATTTGTGTAGGCCTATCACTTATTGTCTGGACTTCTTGTCAAATAATTTGGACTAATATGACACCAACCTAAGAAATGAGTTAACACTTTCCCTTAATATCCGAGTGCAACATCAAAGGACTTACTGGAAGTGCATTTTCCAGCTCGTATCCAAATCTTTCACCATGCTGAAAGAGGTGGAGGCTACAGCCAGAATAAGGGGGAAAGTCCCTCCCAGCCACCAGCCCCTGTATTGGCTGGACCAGCATCACATCCAGACGAGCTGTCAGCCAATCAATGCAGCAGCCGATGCAGGCGGAGAAGACGGTTTTACAAATCGGTAAACGAGGGGGACAGACAAGAACCGGAGAATCTGCAGTCAGAGTCGCCGTCTAATCTGCAAAAGTAATCTCTGCAACTGCATCAAAATGGAGAAGAAAATCACAGATTTCGCAGGAAAATGGACAATGAAGTCTTCGGACAATTTCGAGGAACTTTTGAAAGCGCTGGGTAAGTAATGTTTTTGGGGCACTTAATGTAGGCCTACACGCATTAACATATTTAATTTGTTTACGGAAAATGGCAATAAAGCTGTTCAAAAATATAAAACGTTTTCCAAAGCAATACAGGGTTGCAGGTCGTTTTCCCTACCTTTAGATCAAAGTGCTTTTCATGCAAAAACTCCTCAAACTTTGATGCAAATTAAGAGTCAAGCAGCATATTGTTATCTGGTTGATCATCTACCATTTGGCTCCATTGTTAAAATGCAAAGAATAAGGAAGGGAAAAGGAAGCATCTCCTGCACAAAGACCTGTCAATCATGTTGTCAGTAGCATTATCAACTGGAAATCCACTTGGTTAGAGGTCAACTAGAGAACCAAAGTGGTTTGAAGTGGGCCACTGTGATTAAATTGGTGTGCCCCATTCCTGCCAACCCATGTTCCTGGGAACATTGGTCTTGTTAAACTATATGAGGCTGTATGGACTCCAGTTAAAAGAGAGAGCAGGAGAGAGGTCAGGTGAGGGCCAGCCAGTGGCATCCATTAAAAATCTGAAGACAAATAGCCTGTGGAGGAATGTTAGATTAGACTCATCTGAGGCAGGGTCCTCCTCATGCGGTTGTAATTAGAGCCAGTGTAAACGGAACTAAGCCTTGACATGGGCCCCAGCAGCCAGCCGGCTCTGAGACTGACTTTCCTTCACTTCCCTGGGCCTCTCAGACCTGATCTATGTCTGTCTGTGTGTGTGTGTGTGTGTGTGTGTGTGTGTGTGTTGCCTCCGTTAGTACCACTCAATGAGCAAACATGGTCTGACCTGAATCAAAGTGGGGTTGTCTTGATCTCTCTGAAGCCAGTCCAGCTCACATGAATAATGGCAAAAACTGAAGGGTCAAATGTTTACATTTATTAAACATCACATCACATCACATCTCTACTGACCCAGCACATAGATCCTGATATATTTATTCTGAGAATCAACCGGTAGTTGTACTGTGCACAACAGTAATGAGGCCATTTTCCCCTGCAGTTTATACTGTACGTCTCTGTTGAAAGTCCTGATATAAATGAATGCAAAACAACCACAAAGAGATCAAAAGACACTCAAAACACAACACAAACACAAAGAGATGTAAAACGCAGACAAAGGGATGCAAATCAACCACAAACACACAAAACTTAAAATTGACTACACAAAGAGACGCAAAGACACACAAAACACACCACAACAACCACAAACACACAAAACATCCACAAAGAGACTCCAAAACTGACTAAGCGACGCAAAACAACTACAAAGAAATTCAAAATAGCTAAAATTTCTTCTTATTTCTCTTTCAATCTACCAGTCTTGGTCCTATAGGAGTTGAGTGGATAGTGACTAAATATTACTTTGAGGGTGAAGTCTTTAACAGTGCCACAGTAATAATGGACCTACCAGGGGTTTTGCATGTTGTAACCAATTAAGCAACCATTTTCTGTAGCATACCATACAGAAAGTTCTTAGGTTGATTTCCTTGGTGTTCATTCAGTACAACAAAAAAACTAATCAGCCTGTTTTGAAAACTTTAGGCAACCAAAAAGCATAGCATTTATGTAGCTAACATTTGATGTAGGGAAATCAAACTCAGAAGACAAATAATAAACAGATATGGACATTGTGAAAAGGATGACATGGATTTGGATGTTACTTGTCTTGCTGTATGGCTGCTCAAATATCAGATGACATAGTTTCATTTAATGCCAAGCAAGGAAACATTCCCTGCTCGCAGCCGCTTTACCACGCTGTGATAATGTAACGCTGTCAAAAAACGAAAGGTGCTGGATGGTTAACTTTGATGGATTACCTAAAGCAAACACAATATCTCACATTTTCATGCCGTACTGAATGAACTCAAACCAACAAACTCAAACTTTTAATATGCTCTAGATGAAATAAGGTTATTTGGGCTATGAACATCCAAAACCACCGGTATGCTGCTTTTGTTGCAACCAACACAAGTGATGCTTTCACCACAGCTCTCAGTTTGATATTAGATCTGTTTGTCTTTGGTCAGGTGTGAATGTGTTCCTGAGGAAGATTGCAGTGGCGGCGGCCTCCAGCCCAGCAGTGGAAATCACCCAGCAGGGAGAGAGTCTGTCCATCAAGACATCCACAAGCGTCCGCACCACCCATATCTCCTTCACTGTGGGTCAGTCCTTCAATGAGACGACGGTGGATGGCCGCCCCTGCACGGTACACATCCATAAACTTCCCTTATAACATTCCTGTATAATGTCAATACATGCATACCAGCATTTGGCCAAGGACAGCCTAACCAGAGCTCTGCACAGAAGAAACATGTGGAAATAATTTCAGTGCAACTCTAGGGCCAGCCCCAGTGATAATACATGGATCTGTTCTTCATTTCTTCATGCCGAGTGAGTGGTGAAGGACATAGATCCTGACAGGCCATAAAAATATGCAGTGATCAGCACGCTGAGCTCCAGTTATGAAGCCCAAACTTTGCAGTTAAATGATGTCAGTTATTAATTTTCTTCTTATATGAATCCCTACAGAGCTTTCCTAAGTGGGAAACAGACAGCAAGATCAGCTGCGAACAGACTTTACAGAAAGGTGATGGGCCCAAGACATCGTGGACCCGAGAGCTGACCAACGATGGAGAACTTGTACTGGTAATTATTTTGTGCACAGCGCCAATACACAACTTTACAGAGAGTATCAGATTAAAAGACACTAAAAGTAAGATGACTGTCTAGTGTGAGAGCTTTACAGTATTAAAACCACCCTTTGTGAAGTGGTTGACTCAGAAACATTTACTATTGCTTTATATCAATCATTTATAAGCCATAATTAAGAACAACCTTTAGGTTGCCAGGTAGTAAAACAAGAGTCTATCATCATTTTAGCAGCTCTGTGAAGCTAAATCCTAAATGCTCACATTGACAATACTAACATGCTGATGTTTAGCAGATAAAATGTTTACCATGGTCACCATTGTAGTTTAGTGCATTAGCATGCTAATTTCTGAAAATTAGCACAACATACAAAGGACAGCCATCATTAGTTTTGCAGGTAATTGGTGATATGGTCACCTGATAACAGCTCTACATAAAAGGTTAAGGGGTCACAAGATAAATGCTGTGTTCACATCATATTTGTAGACCATAATTACAAACACAGCCATGTTGGGGAAAAACAGCCTAATTGAAATTTTGAGTTGGAGATATCTGGAAATTTTGACAGCAATTTGGTGAAAAGAACTACAGAAGTGTCTCCAAATCACTGGCAAGATGGCTGAAAAGCTACTATTGTTGGCAGTTACATCTAAATGAAAACCAATATCAACTCTAATACAATCAATTAACCTAATGTAAAAGAGATGTACACAGTTTCACTAATATATATTTGTGACACTGCAAAATAGCAAACTGGGCTACGGAAATGATACTGTAAGTTGGGGTAAACATCTTGGAATAATGCAGGGACACTGCCACGTCAGAACAATGGGAGGTTTACCTTTTTCCCCATTTCACAAATTTAGCATTATTACATTTTACTAAAAAAAACACAACAAGCTTCTTGCTTGTACACATTCTCATGGTGCTGGAGGAAAAGTCCAGGATCACTTAAGTCATTAGGATTCATCTTCTGGGCACCATGAATATCTGCACCAACATTAGTTAGAACTTAAACCCTTTATAATGGTTGCCTTATTAGGAAGTGGTTTAACTCTGTCCTTTTGTTGCTGTTTTCTTTCAGACTATGACTGCTGGGGATGTTGTCTGCACCAGAGTTTATGAGAGAGAGTGAGGAAGTTTTTTTTTAAGACTGTCATACAATACTCATGTTTTGTGCCTCATGCATGGTTTACATTTACTCGCCTTGTTTTCTTCTTTGTCCTCCTCGCAGCCAGTCACATGTTGATAAGATCTCGCTCAAACAGTGCACTGTGTAGAAAAGGCTTCGGTTTACATGAACGTATGTTGGAAAAGTTGCTTTTATAACACAAAAGCTGAAATTATTCTTTATGTATCAAATATAAATGTCACACATTCCTTTTTTTTAAAATCTGTATTGCAGTGTATAAATCACTTTTCAAGATGTTAATAAACTGTTTTATATGAATTTACTGTTTGATGATTCCTTTTGGATTCTTTATGTTGCCTCCTCCCTGCTCCTCCCACTCCCTTGTCGACCGTTTGCATATCACTTTACATCACAATCTGCCACTCATATTCTCCTGATTATTCATTCCCCTGCCATCTTTCCATTTGCAATCCAGTACTGTGTCCTCAGTGTGCTCTTTGTCATCATAGCTCACTCTAATATGGAGCCAATTAGTTTAAAAACTCCCAAAGACAATTCCTATTATCTGAACTCTGCTTTGAGAGACATTTGGCAAAAACAACAGGGAAGCAGGGAGTGGAAAGGAAAACGAGTGAGGGAAAGAGAGAGGGTGACCATGAGAAAAGTATTTCATAGCATCAGAAGAGGTTATACTTCATGTGCTCCCCTTTCCAGCTGTACCTACTTACAGAATGAGCTCAGTAAAAATTCCCCCACCCCTTTGCTCTGGCTTTGCACCCAGGTACAAACTGTTTAGTGGCTTCCTCTTATACTGTGCAGGGAGGCTTCCAGCTGTTGCCTCTCAAAACCCACTTTTTTAACATAATGAATGCAAAAAAAATATACAAACAGACTTAAAATGCAGAGAGAAAGCACCATTAGCTGATAATGATAGATTTAACAGTATTCAGATTCCCTAAAGTCTATCTTTGTACTCAGCTAAAACTCAACTGCGTGGTTCAGTCTGAGGCTGGCTTCACCTTGCTGTTAAAAAACGGACATTTGGGGTCGCTCCGGCACTTCCTGAGGAGAGTACTGCAGGCAGTGATGGTTTTTCCAGGTTTTCAAACAGTGTGCAGACAAGCACCCCTCTGAAGTTCTTCCCAGTTTATACACACAGTGCTGAGCAAGCAGAGGGAGGACTGGGCCTCCTCCCAGATGAATTTTCTCACTAACCTCTGTGTCTCTTTGCAACAGCGATGGAGGAAGTACTCAATACGATGTAAAAATACTTTTCGTTTCTGCTACCTGTAAGCCTTGTATATTGCTGTTGTTTGGATTAAAGTCCCTGAACTGCATCTCTGCTCTGGTGTCTTGCGTCTGGGCTCACACTCCTGCTCTGCGCTCACCGCAATCGTGACACTTCATGTGTTTTGATAATGGAAAATCTTAATCTGTAAAGTAACGAGTAACAGCTGTAAAAGAAATGCAATCTAATGTAATACTGTAAAAGGGCAAAACCTGCCCCTGAAATTTTGTGGAATAGAAGTATAAAGTAGCATAAAATGGATGTACTCAAGTAAAGTACCTTAAAATTATACCTAAGTACAGTATTTGGTTAAATGTATTTAGGTACGTTCCACTACTAATCTGAATGTTCTGAAACATCGTGCTTGCTTGAAAGAAGGAGAGTGACGAGATCATGTGTTACCAAGTATGCGTGTCTTACACAACTTCCCTCATTATGTGGGTGCTCTTATGTCTCACGGGCAGAAAGTATGTTTTCAGTGGCCTCAGTGAAACCCATGTTATTGTGTAAGTGCTCATCAATGACCGCAGCGCTTTAACTGAACTCTGTAGGGGATGGAAAGTTCCCTGCTATTTGCTCAATCAGAAAATTGCCATTTGCACACACACATCCAAATACACTAGATGCCAGATTAAATGGCCCCTTTGACTGATGGTCGTTAGCCTCACAGGAGCAGTCTAAACCAAACCCAGACCCTCCTTGTTAGCCGGGTCACTTTCCACACTCAACTGTTATGCCAGTTCATTCCTCAGGCTGTGATGTCATGGAGCATTGCATTGCTCAACTGGCTGAGGAATGCTGTGGTTTTAAGACCGGGAAGCACCCAAGTCCAGCGTCTGAATCGGGGCCATCTGGAGCAAACATGACAGGGCAATTAGAGGAAATGATGAGTCACAGGAGTCAACTGACAAGCACAGATGCTGCTGGAAGAGGGCATAGAGACAAACAAAGCCAAGCCTGTGAGCAGGTCCAGACAGTTAAGCTAAAGAGGCTTTCATCACTTCATCAATTTTTAATCACTAATCTATTTAGGCTGTAATAATGAGTGCTCATTATTTTCTATACATGCCACATCCATTTCCACCCTAGCATCGACATGTGAGCTCTGTTTCATCATGGTTCTCCATAAAGAATCATATTAAACTCAATGGTTGATAAGTGATTGCTTTGAGTCTTAACTCCAAAACAGAAGACTTTGACCTCCAATTACCTATAGAACTGTTATTATGGACATTAACTGGGCTTTAACTAAGGATTGTTTTCATCATCAATGAATTTGCTGATTATTTACTCAATTCACTAATTGTTTTGCTTCTAACATTTCAGAAATTAACAAAACTGCCCATTACAGTTTCCGTTAGCCCATGGTGTCCCTGGCCACAGGTGTGAGATCTCAGCAGTTTAACTTTAAGATTTATGCAGCACAAACATATTCTTCCCATATTATCTTCTTTCCTATCACATTAAATCATCCACAATTCCTGCTCAAGTTTATCATGTTCAGTCTCACTGTCCCACTTGTGGACAGTCGTTACAAATTCATGCTGTGCAGTCATACATGGTTAACACCCGGATAGCTATATTTTAAATTCCAGAGGAGAACCCAGTGTTTCCAGAGATACCAAATTTGTCAGGTTGAATTTTGGAGAAATGGATTTAAAATGATGCAGAAGCCATCTAAAATATTTCCATTTGATGAAATGGTGCAGCTATAAAACAATATATGGAGCCCTGGTTTGAATATTTCATTCAGTGTAAACATCACTCAGCTTTAATGAAGAGCTGGAACAAGCTGATAAAGAGCATATATGCGATACTGACAGTAAAGCCACTTTAGGAGAAATTAAAGAATTCTGCATACTATAGCCATTACCTCGTGTCTCCTTAAGGGGTCCTGACTCCCACTGAAATATTATATTTCCAGAACGCCCAACCCCAATTCACATATATATTTATTGTTATTGAATATGTGCCTTTTCATGCATAAATCACCAATTCATATGTGTGAACAACTAAGTGATATGGGTGAATATTAACAGGGAATATACAGTGTATATATAAACAGCACTGTGTGTGTACTGTATGTGTGCATGTGAGACAGTCTGACCTATGTGATGAAATCATATGACTGCCATCACCCATGTGACCGCATGTGATGTGTAGGGAGAAGAGAACAGAAAGAAGTCAGGCTGGATTGTCCAAGGGCATTACACCATGACAAAACTTGTAACCTTCTTGCTTGCAGTGTTAGGTATGGAAAGTACATAGAAAAACCTAGAAAGAGGTCCTTTAAGGATACACCCTTCATACAACCAAACAAACAAATCAGAGCTGAGCGTATCACAGTGCCACAATATGAACTATCAAATAACTCTTGTGGGTAAAGCAACAACTTCCATGAAAATGACATTTCTGGAGCAACAATGATTTTAAGATGAATTTTGATTTTAAAAAGCTAATTGTTTATTTTGCCTTACCTGAGTTGCTGTACCCTACCAGTTACCTGAGGTTCAAATGCCACATTTCTCCTGACAATCCATCACCTGAGGGAATTATTCCTTCAAGGCACAAGAGTGACATCTACTGGAAGAGAAGGATATAATGTGTCTTTATTCTACAGCAAAAGGTTGCTTGGTTTTGTTATCATTTAGAGTTTGGCGTCCAAATTAAGATTTATGGATTTAGTATTAACCTAAATGATTCGATTTATTCTTTTATTATTACATAATTATATTATTATGCAGGGCAAAAATGTTGTTGTCATTGTATGCTTGAAGCAAACGATTAATTTGTGTCAATGACAAATCGGTGCACCTTTTGCCAGTAAATTAATCAACTGCTATATCTAATATCAACTACTAATTTTTAATTTAGCAATACAATGTTTTGGAGGGTAATTTTGTTTGTAAAAAGGGCTCACTTACTACGTGTTTAAAGGAAAAAACAAATATTACAACATTTTTATAAAAAGGGACAGTTATGATATCTATCACAGTCTTTCCGAACTTGAGTCGTAGCCTCTGTTTTGTAGACCGTATCTCTTATCACCTCTAAAATAATTTCCCTGTTTTACATCTAATTTGTGTTTGCAGGTTTAAAAAGGAAAAAATCAGTGTTTTTATGACAGATTAAGCTCAGTAGTGTGGGCCTAAACCTGAAAAGAGGAACTAACTGACATGTGTAACGTCTGTTCATTTGTTAGTTGGTGAAGTACGTGATTATATTGGCTAATGATTAACCTTCTGATTGGCTGAGATACAGAGGGCAGTCAAACGTCTGATAAAGACACACCTGCCCCCACCTGACATGTAATGCTTTACAAAACATGTTTATTTTATTTAGATGTACTTGTACCATATATAATTAGCCATCAGTTACCAATGATTTCCAATGATGATTTCTCATCTCATAGAGATGACACATAATGTAGCAACCTATTTATCTGTCTTATGGGTAACACAATAATTTAATTCAGAAGGTCTTTTAATGACTTCTGCTGAATATTACAACAACACTGTCACCCCAAACAAATTTGCTATTGTAATGAGTGCCATTCTCAATGGTGTAATAATGGTATTTAACACTGAACCACCTCGTCTTTATTGCTCTTTGTCTGATGATGACACCATGGTAGGAAAGATGTGTGTTTTTTATTTAGTCCATCAACCTGGAACAGAAGAATCACATCTCTCTTTCAGAGACATTGTACCACTCCACATGTAATGGACCTTGCATTCAAGATACTGATTACAAACAAACCCAGAAATGTATTTTGGAAATTACATATATGTTGTCCATCAAAACATCATTTGCAAAAATTATTGCTCTTTCTGGGACTTGATAGTGATACAAATCCACATATTATATAGAGCTATACATTTAACTTCCAGAAAGTTTTGTCCAGTCATATTCTTTGTAACATTTTTGTTCATTTGAACTATTTAATACTGTATAGATGCAATATATACCGATTTGTTTTTATGATGTCTGCAATTTAGAATAGAAACAGTGTTAGGCCTATATCATACATTATG